GGAAGCCAAAGCTACACAGAAAGGTTGTATGTTGGTATTCATATTGGGAATTCCAGTTAAATCCAGCCTCCAAATGATTTTCCAGTCAAAGAACTATTTAATCCCTAATAATGGATTCATCAGTGCTCTCTATCACAAGCTCCAGACATCATGCCACAGAGATGAGCAATCCCTACTCTATGCTTTATAAATTCCTAACTTGGAATGTATGAATAAAATGGTGGTGGTATGATACCCTGATACTAAGTATGTGGTGGTTGGTTACACAGCAGATTTCCAGAACAATAATGGAGTTATCTTTGGAAAGAAAATTAAGCGTTTGTTTGTTTGTTTGTTTTTGTTTTGTTTGTTTTGGTCTACTGAAGAAACTGTATAGTATGGATGAACATTTTGCCAGGCTTGTCTTGAAAGCTGGTATCCATCTGAATTAACTCACTAGCCTCTAGACTCTAATTAAGTGCCAAGAAATGTCATTCTGATGAGCTACCCTATATTTCATACTCAAAATTCTAGGTTATTGATACAGTTTCTTGTTGATCACCCAAAATTGACTGGCAGTTTTAGACCAGCTATGGCCAACCTAGACATGAAATTATATATGATCTGGAGATCAGTGTCAGAGTGGCATATTATTTTGTGATGCTGCCAGTTTTCTTCTTTAATGTTTCCCTCTGCTTTTAAAACTGAGAATTGGATATAATTAGAAATATCAGCCAGAGATTAGCATTTCAGGGTCAGCTACCTATTTAAAATCTGATATTCTTAGGTTAGAAGGGCATTAGACTGCCCCCCGCCGCCCCCTGTCTGCCAGCCGTACAGATTGGAAAAGGAATGCTTGAGGTCTCAGGCTGGAACTACAGGCTCCTGACTCCCGATACATGTTCTTCCCTATCAATAAATGATTCTTAGATCAAAGTGTTTCTGGCGTGTTGAGCCAATCCCTGTACAAAAATGGTACATACCATTTTGTTTATGTGCATTCTTATGTACCCATTTCTGGAGAAAATCTGCACATTCCAATTGATTCTTAAGGGTTTTCTGGGTCACAGATCTCTTTTAAGTGCCACTGTATTTGATGACTTAATACTATCATTTGAAATCTATCAGAATAAGTTAAATCTTGTTCTTCCTGTGTGAGAGAACACCAGGTGCTCCTAGGGAAATCCATGAGTTAAGATTGGTGCACAATGGGTGGTTCTCTGAGGTAGTTAGGGATAGTTAGAGCATATAGCAGCCAACTTATCTTACTATCTATTTAGAAAAATTTGGCAAGCAATCATATGCTACAATCTCTTTCTCTTTCTCTAAATCTCTTTTGTGATTCAAAAGCAACGAACAATACAGAACTGATAGGGTTTTAAAGCAGAGATATGGGATTTTCACAGAAAGAGGCTGGAAGCTCAGAGACTTATTAGAAGTTTAATTTTCACTCATACCCCCATCTTGTGTAAGTGTCAACAGCCTTTTCAAATAGTGTTTCAGGAACCCAGGCTCTGTTTATCTTAGGGCTTTGCTGTCTTCTTGGGTCTTGGAGTCCTTTACCTCTAGACAGCAGACAAGAGGGAGGGTGGAGGACTAATTGGGAAGTTTCTATGGAAGGCAAGTTTTTCATTTCTCTCCATATTCCTCTGGCCAGGAATAAAACCCATCTAGATACAAAGGTGTGTGGGCGGTAGTGATGGGCTTCCTGGCAAGAACTCTACTCTTTGAAAGAGAAGCATCAATCTTTTTGGGGCAGCTGATCCTCTGTCATAGGCACAGTGAGCATTTTTCCCTCTTCATTGTTATTTAATTATGTTTAGTGCTTAGAGGTGGACAAAAGTCTTAGATTGGACTTTTACACATTCCATGTAGTGTGGATACTAGGTTATAATCCTCTTTATTTGACAACTTAGGAATTTTTTAACTATCCTTAAATAGGATAGTTAAAGGATAGTTAAGGAAATTAGAATTATTCCTCCCTCCACCCCCCTCTCTTTAAAAGAAGTGACACAGAGGACAAGGGCCCCGTTTGGATTTTGAGTTGGTTTATATTACAATAGAATTTGTATAATTTTAGAAAAGAGAACTCTGTTTCCATTTTTGCTAAACCATTGCCATAAGTTTGGCTTTTTTATTGCACAATTTTCCTTAACAATATTTTTGTTTTTGGCAGAAATTATAATAGCACATGCCTTTACCCTATGTTTTTTATTTTCACTCTGTTGCCTAGTTGGTTCTTGATTATTTTTACTTGTTTTGTGCAAGCTTAACCTCTCTCCTCAAATTATCTCATAATTTTTATTCTGGAACAGTATTCATGGTATAAATTTATCATGGATTTTATTTCTCAGTCTTTCTTTTTGAGTATAATTTGGATGCCACTTGATATTAGACCTCATGATCTGTGAAAGTTATTTCTCTTCTACCACTTACTATAGAAAAATTCTGAGTGATTTATTTTCTATGTTCTCTTCTATGAGATGGTATTGGTTCAGAGAACTCCAACAATGTTGCAGGTGATGTTGAGGGCTAAGCAGCTTTTTATGAAGTTCATTGAAGTCCTCCTAGGATTTACCCCCTAGTGTACTAAAACTGGGTTGTTCTGACTCATGAAAGCTGATTGAAACTTGTTCTACCAACTAATGTTACAAATTAAATTTAGAAACTCATAATTAAATTGCATGAAAACTCAAAACTCATTAATTTTTAATTACATTACTGTTATCTAGGATATTGAGGTTATTACATATGTTGTGTCTGCAGAAAACACTACACAATGGTGTGTTATTGTGCCCATTATCAATCAGTTTTCCATCGCTATAACAATATGCCTGACACTAGGTACTTGTTTATTTAGCTCATAGTTCTGGAGGTTAAAAGTATAAACAGCCTGGTGTTGGCTCTGAGGAGAGCCCCTATGGCTATAGGACATCATGGTAGGTGTGCATAGGAGCAGGAAGGATCACATGGAGAGACAGGAAGACAGAGTAAGTAGGGAGGGGCCAGTTTTGCTCTTTTATAAAAACCCTCGTATGAAAACTAACCAGAGTCCCATGAAAAACACCTTAATCCCTTCTGAGGGCAGTCTCCAATGACCTAATAAGTTCCCACTAGGCTGCATTTCTTAAGGGCCCTGCCCCTTCCCACATAACCATACTTAAAAAATTAAACTTTGGGGGACACAAGTAAACCATATCCAAATCATTGCACTTCCCAACTCTGTATTCAGTTATGCCACTCAGGTGACTTGAAGTTGGCCATGGTGGGTACTGTTTTTTAAATGGTTACCAGAAACCCACTGGACTCACCATATAGAACATCTTCTTCATTTGGTAGTGCTAAGACTTGCAAGGGACACTATAGGTGCTTAAAAAAGGACAACTGCCTAGAAGACCACTCCTTCAGGAAAACCTCTGCAATCTTCAGGGAACCTATACATGCTTATATCCCCACCTCATTGCAGCCCAGGGCCTCCCAAACACACAGGATCTCTTTCTCTATTCAAAAAAATAAGTTCAATAGTACTGACCTCATCCCTTCCAGGAATATGTTAGGGGGAAAAAATGTCCTAACTGATGTGAGAGCATTTTTATGTAATTAGGAAGCACGGTTTTCAAATTGGAGGTTTTCCATAAGATTGCTGGTTTATACTACTAATGGCTTTGAGGAGAAAATATCTTTTCAGACTGAATGATTTCCCTAGTGCTGATCCCTGGACAAGTGCATCTTGGTCCATGGTCAAGATTTCTAAGGCCACTGGCATAAAAGACAACACAATAAGATGTGATCAAAAGGTTATTTGGGCTCTCTTTTCATGTGGGATTTGGTTGTTATGGTAATTTTTACATTCATATGCCCTATCTTTATGAAATGGTGGTGACAGTAAATGGTAGTAGTAGAGACAGTTAACTTTAAATACCCTTACTTTGAAAAAGCTAGAAATTATATTAGTCCTCTTTCCCACCTCCCCATTTTTTTTTTTAACATTTCAGTAGTTGTAAACCAGTAGTTCTAAAAGCATAGAACTACTCCATATTGACTCTAAATTTATTTTTTTGGAAGCAGAAACAAATCTTAATGGAATTCCTCCACCTGTACCAGCAGCCTGGGCAGGCAAGAGCCCTTTTTTTATTCCTGTCATTCCCCACTCTCATAAATGAGTAAGACAACCAAAGCATGGCCTGAACAAGCCTTATCTTTATCTCTCCCTTCTGCCAAGACAACTTTTCAAAGTCTTGACAAAACTGTTCTTTTGAGGAGAGCATGCAAAAGTGAGCCTTCAAGCTGAAAATCGCAAATATGTTGTTTGCTCTTTCCCCCAAAAAACATTCATTATTCCAGGAGTTCTTGGGTTCACATGTGGCTTTAACCATTTGTGTCTCTCTTCTAACATTGTTGATATTAATGCCAGTTTTAATTTCTTGGCATCGTGACACATAAGCATCACCCACGGTTGCTTTTTTTTTTTTTTTTGAGCAAGGATGGAAACTGTAAATTTGGAAGCAAGAGATTCACAGGGTTTCATCAGATCTCTCTGAAAAGTGTCACAGTTGCACTGAAATGGTTTTCAATTGCTCATTTCAAACCTAGCTCATTAGCAAAATGACATGCTTGCAGTGGATTTGCAACCACGTTAGTCATTTTCTTTCCTCTGTTTCCTTGCCGTGTTTGTGTTGGGAGCACAGAGTAATGTAATTTAGTAAATTATGATTTGATGGCTGGGCATCAGCCCCAGTGTTGAACAGTATTTGGACTATGATTACTTGCTGGCTTTGTCACAGTTGACATTAATTATTGATGGAAGTTTCAGAAATAGCGCATGTGCCAGGAGCTTTTCACCGGAACGCAGGCTGCCGGCAGGAGGGATGCTGAAAAGTGTGGGGGAAGAGGCACCTGTGGCTTGTTTATGTCTATGAACAGGGAACCTGTACCCAGTGGGCTGTGTGGTAACTGTGTAAAGGACATGGTGTAACGGAAGGATGAACCGTCAGGCTTATTTCTATCGTGTTCCTCCCCAGGAATTACATCGAAGAAGCCAACTTCAGCCGGAGCCAGCCAAGACGAAGGCTCTCCAGACTGTCATTGAAATGAAGGTAGGAGCTGAGCACATTTGTTCAAAAACAGCTGTGCCTTGTGAATTTATTCTAACTTGATGGTACCTAACAAACATGTGAAAGGAGCCTTGTGTTTTTCACTAGGTACCCTGGTGTGTGTTTTGCTTCTGCATCTTTTTGCCTTTCTGAGTGCATTTAATTTATTGGTCTTTTAATTAGGATGCCTTTCCTAGGCAAAAGAATAAAGGTATCAAGTATCCCTTGGCTGAAAGGAGCTGGGTTCATTTCCAAAGTATGGCAAATGCCTTTAGCCCTAAGGGAGGTTTTTTGGTTTTGGGTTTTTTTAAAATGTGCTTTAAAAGTAAATTTCTAAAGCTAGAATAATCCCCCACCCCTGTTGATATTACAATGAAAAGATACCTTTGAGTAACTAGAATTTGACAAAAGAGAAGCTATTTTAAATGCATCATAATAGAAAATAATTAGAATTATACTATCAGCAAAATTTACTTTTCAAAGAAAAATACTTTCTTATGACTCCAGTATTTTCTCCTTAAAAAAGTCTGGAGGTAACAATAATTTATTAAATACAAAGTATCCTATTTGGCAATGGAGGCATAGACATAAACTAAAGGAATTAATTTTTTTTTTCTGAGTGAATTCAGGGTATGTATAAGACAATGTAGTAAATGAAGGCCAAGCTATAATCTGCGATTAAGAAGCAAATCTAAATGGAACACAGTTGCTTGTCCAGTATCTATTGGAAATTTTTTTACTTCCATTTTTTGCCAGAAGGAAGCAAACATTTAAAATATTTGTCTTAAGTATAACTAATTCTTGATTTAAATTGTTCTACTAAGAAAAATGCTTTTGTAATGGAGCTGTTTGCAGCTTGCAAGTTCCATACTTGTGTTTAATACTCAGAGTTTCCTGGACACTATTGGCCTACAAGAACATTCTGAAGCTTGCTGATAGGATAATGAATTTTCTGTCTTTCTTGCAACACATGATTTTGATTTGTCTGCCCAAAATTTCCAAGTCCTAGGGAAAAAGAAACAGACATGAACTATAAAATTCTTAGAATGTACAATTCTGACTTGGGATTTTTTTTCATAGTCTTTATAGTGTTTTGTCTTTATCCAGGTGAATTGTGTGTGTGTGTGTGTGGGGGGGGTAAGTAGTATAGAACATTGGCTTTAAACTGTATGTCTCCCAAGTAAGGTTACATGAGTCAAAGCACTCATAATGTATTTTCAGCAAATTGTCTTGAAAAGAATCATTGAAGATAACAAATACTAATAAGATTAAAAATAACTATTGATGTAGCTTATGAATTGTTTTAAATTTATATGATTTTGTAACTTATTTTGAAAAGATACTTATTCTACATTTGGGGGACGGTGGTTTGTTTATAATTGAGATTTCATCCTTATTTCACATTGCAACCAAGCTTGAAATTTAAATTGAGAAAAGAGGAAAGACATAAAGAAAGATAAAAGAAAAGAAAGAAAAAGGAAAAAAAGACAGAAGGACAGAAAACTTGACTTTTATTTTGCAAAGGGTAGCTCAGTCCTACTTGTCATCTACCTCCACATTCACCTCCCCAGTCCCCAACACAAATAGCATTAGAGAAGTGGAGGTAATACAATATATTTCCAAATTATTATTTTTTTTAAAAAAGTAAAAGTAAATTTAAAAGAATCTTTGGAGAAATCAGGAGGAGGCATCTCCCCTAATGTGGTGGGTATTTTCTTATTCAATATCTCTATCCAAAACAACTATATTTTGGTAACTTTTAAAAGTAGAAATTTTGTTGGATTATAGTTTACTATTTTTAGCATCATGTCTTATTGGAAAATCAACAGAAAAATTGTAAATATGAACACTCATTTAAGCCATCTACATGGGAAGACATGAAAAATGAAAACATGATTATTAGGGTAAATTCATATATACATGTTATCAGTAAATTGAGTCTAGAATTTTTCTTTTTATTGTATTCTAGTGATGCTGATTTGTAGACATAGGAACATGTTTTTAAGACAAATGTCGATATATATACATATATATCACTATATATATGTATACATATATATGCAGATTTATACGTATATATATATATATATATCTTCATTTGACTTAAGATCATGTTTCTGTGTCTACATATATACATATATATGTATATAAACATATATATAAAATGCAAAAAATTGAATTGTTTTTGTATATATGTATGTGTATACATACATATATATACACATACACACATATACACACATACCTACACACACAACTCAATATTTGCACAAATATATATATTTATGCATATGTCAGGAAACAGCTTGAGTTTTTCTGTTGTCTTTTTTGGTGCTTATTAATTTACAAATTCAATACCTTTTGTTTTATCAGTGGAGAAGTCTGGGTCCCATCAGCATCTATATTCAACACACCTAAATTGAATTATGGAGGCAGCTGGTGGAGGGTCATCTTCTTGGCCATGTGTGTAGCTTGTGACAGGCTGTGATCTCATCCGATTTCATGCATTAGAAATTGGAGGAAATGTTCGAAACCAATATTGTGGGCCTCAGAGTTGAGTACCAAACTGGCCCTTAAACCTGGAAGATTAAACTTGGGACCCTCTTGTATCTTAACTTTAGGTAAACTTGAGTGCCATCTTGTGCCTTGACATTAGTGTCATCTAGTGTGGTGGCAAAATCTAAAATTAAAAAGAGTTTTCTTAGAGTAAATAAAGCTCCTTGGTTTCAGGGAGATGATAAGAGACAAGATATTTCTACTTGTCTCTTACTTCTTAGAGAGAAACTAAGAGTGAATTTCTGAACCTCCATCATCCCCACCTACACACTTTGCACCAACTCAAGCAAGGTGTTTGTTATGAAAGTCTATAAAATCTTGCCTAAATCCATGCACTATTTAAAACCACAGCCATGTAGCTCTAGTAGATCTCTGTGTACCCCTCTAGACTTGGATTGTTGAGAGAGAGTATGTCTCCATGGAGTGAATGCTTGAGAGGCCACCTTCCTGCATCAAAGCAGAGGTAGTTCTCTTGCAGATGTCAGTGACATCTGCTGCCAGCCAGTTGAGCCAGGGGGCTAAAATCACCTGAATGAAAATGAAAGGAAGCAAAGTGAGTAAAGTTATTTGTAATCTGTCTTCCTGCAGGAATCTCCAAGTTTTAATTTTGATCCTGATTTGATCTGGCAGGTATGTTCCAAATTTGCGCTTAGAACACTGTGTGTTTCTTGAAAAAAATAAAATTGCTTATAGATGTTGTGATGCTCCAACTTTTCTTGATATTCTGTCTAAAGATTCTGTACCAAGTTCCCCTTTTCTTCTCTTAGGGACAATTGTCAGTAAGAAAGGCAGTTAAAAGGCTTTTGTCATTTTTCTTAAATGCTAATTACTCTGAAAGAATGTGTTTCTAACCTGTTTTTGCTATAAATTTGACATGACATGAACATGATGTCCGAAAGTTTCACTTTCTTGGGTTCATTTGTAAAATTTTACCCATTTATTAAAAAAAGAACATGAATTACAGTAATGGCAGTATTTGTCAGATAACCTCAAAGCTTTTTTTTTTCTTTATTAGTTAGAACTTCTAAGAGACTGAAAATCTAATTCAAAGTGGCCAAATCCAAAAGGAAATTTATTGGCTCTCACTTATGTGGAAAAAGTCAGTTATTGCTTCAGGCATAGCCTGATTCAGGCTCAAAAGGTAGTAGTAGCTCCTGTTTTCTTTCATCCCATTTCTGATCTTAGCTTTCAGCTTCTCCCTGCCTATCTGAGAAAGATGGCTGCAGCAGCTCCATAAACCACAGAAGGAAGAGAAGGGAAAATGTTACATTTTTTTAAAAAAGCAAAAATCCAACCCATTCTAGAACAAGGGTTCTTGTTAAGTTAAAGCATAAATCTTCACTCCCAACTTAACAGGCCAGATTGAAAAAAGAATGCATGGTGGTCCTTCATTCTCATTTGTTTAATCCATTAAAATGGTGCTTATTCATCAAGGAAAACAACTTTCCGGTAGCATAATAGAAATTATCAAAGTTTCAGCAGAATTTATCAAATGGAACATATATGAGTGACATAAAGATTTTGGTGAAAGTTGCAGAATATATATTTGATCTGGTGAACTTGTTAACTAAAGTGGATTAAGAAGCTAGGGCCTCTGACATCCTAGGTGTCATGGAAGACCTGGGGTGATATTGTTCCCATGTTCCCTCCCAGAGGAACAAATGGAATTCGTGAACAAAATCCCTAGAGGGACACTGATATAAGACAGTTGGGAAGTGCAAAGTTAGAAGTTACTGTGTCCCATTAAGAAAAAATGAGGGCTGGGGACATAGCTCGGTTGGTAGAGTGTTTGCCTTTGCATGCACAAGGCCCTGGATTGATCCCCAGCACTCCCCCCCCCAATAAGAAAGAAAAGAAAAAAAATGAGGGGATAGGAGAGAGGGAGTGATCATGGTGGGGGTCACTGGAGCGACTGCCTTGTAATTCATTAATATCTACCTCTCTTTAGGGTGTTTTCCTGTAATGTATTTTCTTTTACAGTAAAGTTTTAAAAGCAATGGGTATCAAGCAAATATTTAATAAAAACATACAACATTAAATAGAAGACCAATAAATATAACAACAACAAGAAAAAAAGAAGCCAAGCCTAAAGCCACTAAGAAACAATATTTCTGTTGGTAACTACAGTAAGGATTGAGGGTATTTAGCTTTCTAGTCATGTGACTAGTTTAGACATTAGTATTCCCTGAATGACATTTGTCCCCATCAACCTTTTCTTTTCTTTCTTTCTTTTTTATTTTTTCCTGGAACTGGGTAATAAGCAAATAAGCAGCACAAGATTGACCTTGATTAAGCTGCTGAAGTATAACTATGCTATTTGTGAAAGAATGTGACTTTGCATTCAGGTGGGGAAGTTGACTTTTGTGATAAAAACTAAGAACTGCACCTTGTTTTTGTGCTCACACAGATGATAGCTCTTTTCTGTGGGGCTGATCTGCATTGGGTTA